TTTGAACTCTGACTCCTCCTCAGAAAAACATAACCCATCCAATGTTTCGAGCTGGCAAAAATAAACATGAATGCTTTCAGAATGACAGCTTTTCTACACTATCCCAAGCAGGCTCTACTGCTCCATTTTCAATTTAACATGTGTTAATACCACTTGGCAACGGGAAGATTCAGCTATATATAGTTCCATCATGGCTCTCAACAGTTGAGTTCCACAGTCAAATCTACCAGCAGACAAATATACTGGCTTTAATTGGCATGGCTAAGATTCCCACTCAGCTGTTGCTGAAAAATGCTATTGATACTTTTATAAAAGCACGTTTTCAAGTATATGGAAGTGCCCCAAAGTGCAGTTGTTTTCTGCCTCTGCTCTGGACAGATAACTCTGTGAAATGAATCTCAGACAAAAGTGAAATAGAGAGACCAGTGATTATGTTTCAGCAGAGCACTTCAACACATGCTTAAAATAAAACTTTGAAGTAAGTTCAAAACTTCACAAACTCCACCAAGTCAGAATTCTGAACTGGGGTTTACTCTTTTAATCCAAGTCCCTGTGAACACATTGGAGAAAAAAAATCCCTTCATTTTAACACATAGTGTAAACAATCTCTTATGAACTTTAATCATGACCAAATAGCAGTCAAGACTCTAAGGAATTTATTCTGTTTCTGCTAAAAAGTCTGGTTTTACCAATAAAACAGATCATGAAAAGAAACAAGGCACAACATATATCACAAGGCAAATCACATTATATTTAAAAATGCATCTAACACACATTCCTCTGCTATCTCCTATGCTCTTCTCTCCCTTTCTGTTTCCTCAAATTTAGAATATTTAGAAAGATTTTCAGACTTAGGCTTCCAAGAAACAAAAAAACCCCACCAACCCCGTAACAAGGAAAATACTAATGGGTTTTCAAAAATCAACACTTTAAGGGTCAGTAAATAAAACTACATCATGAAATGGTGCTTTAAACACAGATGTTCCACTAGGAGGAAGATTGTGTTCTGTAATCCTGAAAATGAGTCCTTCACTCATGCTCAAGGACCATTATAAGAACAGTAGTGTTCCTCTTTACTCAAAAAAGAGTTCCATAAAGATGTATGGAATAAAAAACCAGAATTAAACAGCGTAGAAGTCCATTTAGAGTTATGAAACTGTAAACAAATATATTCTCTCGTAGCTCACAGAGCCAAACGCAGTCAAATTGTTACTGCAGCAATTAATTTTTAATGCTGAAATGACTACCTGCTTTGTGATATGTCACGTGGTCACTGGCAATACTAAAATATTTAACAAGAAGCATTGATACCATCCACAAGTTTGTTTTATACGAACTCTGCATGCTAATCCCCAGGTCTTTTTGTTCTGCTTTTAAGGCCAAAGAATTTACAATCATAAAGCCATATAAAACACTTCAGACATGCTCTTCGAGGCAGAACTTTTTAATACAATTCTTAAGTAGTTAAAAGCCTATAATTAATAATTTTTTATTTAGGTTTGTCAAAAGATTTGTGCAACTGCAGCAAACTATAAAATCCTCATTCCATGGTGCACAGTAACAACCTTTCTAAATTCAGTGCTAATTTTGTCAAACCTGTTTCGTCTCCCTCAGAGCAGTGACAGCACAGTTATGGTGCCCAGTTATATTACAAACTCAGGAACCTGATATGTTCATAGATCCCAGACCACGGAAACAATCAAAGGAGCCTTTCCAAAAAGCACACCTTTAGCTCCACAAATGGTGTGCCTCTTCCTTAGAGAAAAATAAATCACCAATGGTTCAAGAAAAAGAATAAAGGAGATGTTCTCAAAAGGGCAAGTAAACAGGGCAGTATCAGGTATAAAACAAATATCTGAATTTTCCCACAGATTTGGTATTCACACCTAGAGGAGACAGACCAAAGAGCATAACAGCTACCATTGGTTAAAAGAAGTAAATAATCCAATTGATCAAACCATCAAACATAATTTGGTGGTATTTCATGTCTGATAAATTCCATAGTTTGCTGCTATGGAACAGAACGAAGGTGAGATCAGCTCTAGCATCCATAATCATCACAGAAACTTCCTGACTAATCAGTAATTCCGTATTCTGCTCAAACCCAAATGCTGTTAAATGCTGGTGTTTGATACTATCCAGCAGGAATGAGTCTCAAGTCATCTTTCTGACTTCCCTTTCTGTGGTTTCCCATAAAAGCAATATGGGGCAGTAGCAAAACACATACTCAAATTATTTCCATAAGGCACATCATTTGTATGCTTCACTAACAATGGCAGCTGCAACAATTTTTTTAATAATATATTTAATTACACATTTAAGTGAAGAAGAATCATAAAATAACACTCTCTTCTTGAATGAAGCATGCTTATATGCTTTTAAGATAAACATCAGATTGCTTTTTTTCTCTTTAGTTTCCACTGCATGCCTAACCAGTATAAACTGGGAATATTTTTGACACCTATTTATGCAAAATGTTAGAAACACAGCAATTGTTGTAGTCTCTAAAGCTATTCAGTTACATGCTAGAGCAGCCCTCCAGCTTCAAAGGAAGGTCCATGGACCTCCAAAGAAAACAGATGTGGAATTAATCATCCACAAAAAAAAAAAAAGGCCCTCTCCAACCTGCAATAGCTCTAAAAAAAAAAAAAGCTCAAAGGCATCAGTAGTCCACGAGTACACACAAAAGCTAAAGCACCCACGTGTGTGAGGGGATGTGTGTAAAACAGGGGAACCCACATCCACAGAGGAGGCTGTTCAGGCTTGTAACCAACACCAGCTGTGAGAGAGGAAATGTGTAACTGTGAATGTGCGTGTGCATGTCCGTGGCATTTTAACTTTTTGGAATTAGTTTTAGGGCTGCATTTAGAAATTTGTAGGTGTTCCTTAACATTTCTTAAGCATCTAGTATCATGGTTTATCTAATGTATTGCTGATGTTCGTCCTAAATATATAGTTCCCTGATCTCTAGTTAATTATGCTTTTAATAAATCAGCAAACTGTCTCCATCCTGATGTGTTTAAACCATGGGAACTGAGTGAGGTTTACTTAATGCCACTTCTGCATTTCACAGAGTAATGATTACCAAACTCCATTTGAGGCTTCCAATGTGAATGGATTCATGGAGACAGAGAGTTCTCATTCTTTATAGCTTACTACCTCAACTGTCCTTATCCACATATTAAGTGTCATGTTTCATAGCTCTGGGCTGGAATGAAAGAAATTCCAGTATGGGACATAACTACGAAACACATATTCCATTTCACTGAACTGACCCAAATTTTACCAGATTTCTTCCCAATTTCCAAGTGGAACTGCAGCTTGCCAGTGGAGAAAGCTCTCCCAAATTCAAAGGTCACGGAAGTTATGTGCACGCTTACAAATTATCTGCACTTAAAAAAAATATGAGAAAGGTCTACAAATACACAGATTACTATCCATTTTCAAATAACAGACACAGCAGCTGTGCCCTACCCTCCCTTGACACGGAACATGGCAAAATATTTTAAAAACAGTGATCTCAACATAGTGCACTAGAGATACTCTATGCCATCAACTTCCCCTGTTCTGTTGCCCCTGAATCCAGACTCCCCAGTTGCTTTATCAAACAAATACTACTCTTGATGCAGCAGACAAGGCTTTTAGGACATCAGTAAACTGCAAGTCTAAAAGGCAGAAGTCTGTGGCTTCTGTTTTGGCTGATTACCCATGAAACAGAAGAGACACACATATATAGTTAATATGAGAAGTCAAACCATCAAAGGTTACCTACGTTGCAGGGCTGCAAGGTGAGCTTAATATTTCTACACCAGAAGACCAAAAGCCAGATTACCAGATTCAAACTCTTCAACTTGGTGGTCTAGGGCTATCTTTATTGTGAACAACTCTGAAAATTTATGTCTTTTATGCACTAAAAACATCTTTTAGCTATTGTAAAGACTTCAATAAACATTAACATTTCTGCTTAGGCAGGAATTCAGTAAGAGCTGGCCCTAAGGATATCTAAATCCAAAAGCTAAAACTATAAATCCAAATCAAACATTGCCTACGCCTTTTGTTTTCAAACCTGGTACCAAATTCTCATTCCTTTCTCTCATATGGACCCAAACAGGATTTTCCAGCCACAGACCTGCACTCTGTGAAGAATGCCAAAAACCAGCAGCTGACAAGTTCAAACAAAAGCAACTACACTTCCAACAACATCAGGTTGCAATTCACACACGGCAGCTGCGGCAGAAGATAAACACTAAAACATAAGCCACAGGACAAATTACATAAAAGGTCACATCCATTGACAAAACCAGAAGAAAATCTATTCATCTAGAAAAGTTTTCTGATGTTGAGACAGTGACAAGTAGCTTTTACACCTGAGGAACACCACCATTCACCTGCAGTGTCAGGCTTGGTGTTGTGGCAGGACCTGCTGCTTCTATTCCTTTATATCCACAATGTCCCTCTTCTTTTGAGGTCTGTCTGAAGATCTGCTCCCCACCTGGTAAGCCTCAGTCTTTCCCAGTACAGCCAAATGTTTATTCCCCATCTATCCCAATATGAATGTCTCACCTGCAGAATCAAGAGTGTTCCTGGATTTACCACCTCTGCCTGGTAGACAACATAGTTTGGAGATTTGTTATACCAAGAGTTAAGGGAAAGGACAGGAGAATCATCCAGTCTGAATTTGTTCCTTCAACAGACAATGACACTGCATTCCAAACTGATACTTTAAAAATTAAAAGTTTTCTAACTATTCATAAATTTGTTATCTCCAGCAAAGAATGAACCAAAGTAAACCAAACCAAAAATAACCCACGGAAAAGGCAACTTTTGTTGCAGTTGATTTTTACCATCCTTTCCCTCACCAGGGACAAAATAAGGTATTTTATCAACTTCTCATCTGCATTGCTCTGATAATCAGCACATAAAGCAGTAATATGAAAACACTTGAACCAATCCATTGTTTCCATTGCAAACAAAATGGAAAAGCTCAAATAGCTACTCACCAGATTCTCTTCGAACCACTCCCGCAGACACACTGCTGTGGCCCCTGGAATTTGATTTCTCAATGCCTCTTTCTCCTGAGGATCCTCCAGCATTTCCAATGCCATCTTTAGATCTTCCAGGAGATGCAGAATTTGAAATGTGCCCAAGTACACTGACGGAGCAGGTGACACAATATCATAACCACCATTAGCATACTCTGTAGCTGACTTTGTACCTAAAACAAATAAAAAAAGGAGAGACAATAACGTTATATAATTGTTTTCTGGGTGACAAATACACAGATACTACGCACTACAACTTTTGGGCTTCAGATGCTCACTGACAAATACCAGTATTTCAGGCTTAGAAATACTTGCATTAGTCTCTAGATAAATCACGAGCACTGGAGAATTAAATGTGAAAGGGATATACGAGCATATTAAAAAAGAAATTTGACCTAGAAAACATTTGCAATGTTTGTTAAGGTCAAATCCTTTCTGTCAAGTCACCTGTAATTTTCCACGGTTGCCATGAGATGTCACTAACTTCTCAGCTACACAGAAGTCCCTACACAGAGCAGTGTTAAGCAATGTAAGAACAACTGATGCAGTCCTTTGAGAAGAAACTTAGATCAAAACAGATCATGTAACCAGATCTAGGAAAATATATGACTGTGGGCAGGTTTAAAACTCCCACAAAGAACAACCCACCAGAAGTTAGCAATAAAAATGGCACATAAAACTTTGCTAGCTCTCTAAATTACAAAAAGATCTCTAAATTACAACACCTCCCTCCTGCCAGCCCTCCAGTACCAATATTATTTTCTCGACAACATTAAGCACAGTAAAAAACATATCTCACTTATGGAAGGATTATAAATAATACAAATTCTAATATCTCTAAACCTTTTTGTCTTAATACCTTGTGTTTCAATGAGATGCACACTAAAGTAAACTCTCTTTTCTCAGTCCTGAATTTCAGACCTTGGTATCATTTAATATCCCTTTGTTTCTTTAAGAACTAGTCAGGTGGAAAACTATCTCCTTTACTTTTTAAAGTTTTTATTTACAATTCATTGCCTCGTGTATGTAATAGGTTGTACAGATGTCTTCATGTTCTCTCTGGCATAAGCCATCCCATTTCCCCCTTTTATTTACCTTAATGGAGTTTTTTTAGGTTTTTGATCATTCATACTTCACTGGATCCATATAGTGTTCATTAGAAGACTACATAATTGATGAACACAAGGGTATTATAATAATCTCCTTATTATATTCTTCATTTTACCTCTGTGTTCAACATAATTTACATCTTAGTTATGAAAGGAACAAAAACCTTCACCGGGCCTTTGAAAATTATTTGCTAACTTTTTTTTTTCCCCCTGAGCTCACAGATCCAATGGGATGCATGAACATGTAAGGAATTCAAGTGTTCTTCTCGAATGCACACTACTTTGCATTAATCAATGTTAGTTTGCCTGCTACAGTCATTTATCTACCATGATTCAGACACTACAAACTATGTTTGGACCCAATGTTTCATTTTGCACGTAGCCTGAAACACAACTCATGAATACACTGACAGTCTGGGTCCTAATACCCTGAAATGCCTTCTGCACCCACATTAGCTTTTAACCAAAATGCCAGTTGATCATTTAATACTAATGTTATTCCCCATGTCACTCAGTTTTTGAACAAAGGCAATATTTTGGCTCTCATTTTGTGAATGCTTAACTCTACGCAAAGTTTGGGGAAAATTTAAATAATATTAACCAGGTTATCTTCAACCTCTGTTTTAATGACACAAAGCATTCTGTCAGATATTTGCAAAAAATTGTGTGGCTTGAATTCTGCTGAACAATGAGCGTGGGGGTTTTTTTTGACTGTTTTAAACAATGTAAAACCAACCATCCTTAGAAATTTCTGAAGTTTTGCAAGGCTCAGTAGTAGGGTTTTAAACTTTTTTTTTTAAAGCAACGCTAATTTTCACTACCGAAGTATTTCATATTATCTTAACCTCTTTTCAGACTCAAAATACTCCTTTTGATCCTGCTGACTTCCGCTGCTCACGAGTTTATTTTAATACCCCAAGTGCAAGATCTCATCTTAATTTCTGGCTAAGACCATGTCCAAGATAAAGTTTCTTCAATATCCGGTGCTACAAAGACTGCTGTATGAGATAACCTCACCTCGTAAATCAACCTTGTCTTCCTGAATTACTTCCTTTTGAGCTCAGGATCAACTGACTGTTTTGCCGGACTTGCTCGCTAAAAGGTATTTTCTTACGTATTTCTATACTCTCAGCCACTCGTGACAGCTTGTTTATGTTTATGTAGCTCCTAATGCAGATTAATATTAAACTCTAGTGACTGAAAATAGCAGATTTCCAAATTGTGTAGGAGCCGTCTGGATCATATAACCTTCATTCAGCCAGGGTGGCTCACTACTTACTTTCTGAGAGATGTGCACACAAACTGAAATGTGGCACTGACTGCTGAAGTGGCATTGATGCCACTTGGAAAGATGTGGCCTCCTTGGTTACTGTGGCTTTAGGACTTGTAAAATAGTTTTCTCACTCTTTCTTTCGGAAAACTCCACGTTACTTCTTTTCTATCTTTTGCTTAGCAAGTACCTTTAACACTAGAAAAGGGGACAGGATTCAAAGTTATTTCATAACCAGCTTTGGTAGTTACACCTTCAGTGAACAGAGGATTTAAAATAGATATAGAATGGGAAAAACTGAAAGGAGCATTCTGCTATGGAGCTCTTCATGTTATTTATGTGAATACTTTTTATTTATAGACAAGAGAGGAACAAACAAGCAAAACTCCACACAATCCAAACAAAACCACACAAACTTTCAGGCCAACAACCAATACTTCAGGTATGAAATAAAAGCTGTCACATTTAAGCTAAATACAACTTAAAAAAACTGTGCAGGAGTTCAGTTAATTAGAGTTGGTAGGTAGTTTATACAGACAAACACACAGCCATACCACACATGCCACTGTGACATCTTTGTTCACCAGTCTAAATGTCTCACTGTGTATCACATCTTGCCTCCATCCTTAGATGATCATGACTATAACATTCCTGGCAACATCCACCTTCTAAAGAAAATAACTTTAAACTCCATAGGAAGATTCAGGGACATTGCAGCATGCCTTTATTTGGTTTGCCTCTATCAAAACACTAGGAAAAACAACATATACTCACATTCTTTAATCTTGGTAAGTGAAAGAATGGTCACCCTTAAGAAACTCAGTTCTCTAAACGTAAATATCCTTAAGTGCTGGAGCACAGGTAGGGCCAGTCAGGAATTATGTGATTCCCTGAGACTGGGCATACTCCATATGCATGCTTGAGTTATCCCAGGCTCTTCAACTGACTGCTCAGAGTGGCAGAATTCTAAGCAGCCTCACATTTTGCAAAATTTGAAATTACTTTAAAACTAGTTTGCTATAGGTTGTTAATGCAGTACCTTTCATTTCCCTAGATGAAATGGAAATCAAACTCCTCTGAATGCAACAATTAATGCACTTTATATTAGGTAAGGAAATGCAGAAATACAGAGTTCAACTCAGCATTTTAATTCAGAAAGCTTCCTGGTTTACTGCTAAAATTCAAATGACTCACAGGCTCGATTCTCTTATTTGTTTTCCATGTAGTTTCATATTAAACAGGACAAGAACACACCCTGAAAAACAGAAGTGTGTAGGAGTAAATAATTATATTTCTTTGCATTAGTTTTAGCACCAGACAGGAAGAACTTGGATGTCCTTGCAGACTCATTTAAAAAAAAAAAAAAAAAATGAAGAATGCTCAGGAAAGATGAGTGCAGTTTTGAACTCTTGGAAAAAGACTCATTTTTTTCTTGAGCAAGTCACAGTATTCTTGTGCCTCACTTTTTTCCAGGGATAAACAGGACACAGGGGAATCTTCTGTCATGATGTTTTATATAATACTCAACACCATGGTTTCCTAGTGTACTACTGGAACACAATTAATCACCATAAATGTCCACTTTAGAGAAGTAGGAGAGAAAGGGAGAAAAAACTGTTGAAACTATGACATTCCAAGTATCTCACTTCTGGCTTCCCCAGACAGCCAGTGGATGAAGGAGGTTAAATGTAGCTGCACATTATACGGAGGAAGAAAGTAAAATAAGCAGTACAAAAAGGAAAACAACTTTTAAGTTACACATTTCTTATACCCTGACCATTAAAGCACATTTTTATTTCAAAGTCCCTTGCAATTAGCTGAATGGCTTCAAAGAAACATTCCTTTTGGGCAAATACATAACCTATTCAGAAAACAGCACTCCCAGTAGCCTGCAAAAATAAGTTACTAAGCAGAAGTTATGAAAGAAGCAGAAAGGCTTGCCAGTTTGAAAATCCACTCTCCTGAGCTTATATTCTACACATTTGTCCATCACACAACTTTCATCTCTCTTAGCAGTAGATACTGTGTCTGATCTCTCACTTTCCCTTGCACCTTAGCTTCTGATCCCCTGCATTCATCCTCGTCACCTCAGTCTTTTTGCTCTAAAACTGGCTGAGTTTAAAAAAAAAAAAAAATCCTGGTAATGCACAACTCAACCATCAGTGGTTAAAAAAAGGTTTTCCTAAAACTGCTGGCTCCTTTAGATCAGAAACCAGCAAAAAACAACAAAAGCCCCAAAGCAAAAACCAAACGCTACATCTATGCTGGGTCAGGATGACTTTCTGTAAAGCTGAAATACTCAAGAGCAACAATTTTGATATCTGACCAACAGTGGTTAGAATAAAGTTATAAACATATATTTTATCTGGCCTTTCACTTAATCATTACACTGTTAGAGAACATTTTTTTACCTGAATTTTTACTCAATGAGCAAATAGGTTGTCCAAGTTCTTCCTCTCTCCTCCAAGACTACAAAGTGTAATTTTCTTTGAAGCACAATTTTCTTTTTCTCATGAAGATAGCCTTGAAAATGTGAATTTATGTAAACTAGTAGTAAGGTCTAGATGGGACATATTTCAGCGTCCTCGTTCCTAAGCCTTCTGTCAAATGAGTGAAGAGGTAGCTCACACAATCCTTTCTTCTAATACTGTAATGCAAAATACATCACAAATGGTATGTTTTGAATCATAGCTTACATTAACTTCTCCTCAAATCTCTGCTTTTAGATCTTTAACTACAGGGAACAGTAACTATTAAGCTGGATTAGCAGGAAGCCCTAGGAAAAAATTTCCAA